TACGATTAGATCTGGAGACTTCAGATTTACTGTGTATATACATATGATGAATACAAACATTTTGTAATGTATAGGTTTTGGATACCACGCCCCCTTCGCTCCAATTTGTAAAAAGCGCATTTTAAGTACTAGAAACTTTTACTTTGGAATGTACACACATTTTACCATATGATTACGCTCTGAAAGTTACATTAAGATTGTATGTCTACAAGAGAAATTATTCAACAAGTAAATTCATAATAATGCCCTCACTGCAGCGCAGCCCAAGCGCAGTCGCTGCTTACTGCGCAGTTAGCAGAGCGCGTGTTTATATTTAGGCTTGGGCTACAGATCTGAAACTGTAGTCCGCCCTATGAACGAATCCTTTGGCTGCCGTCACTGGCGCACCAAATAATAGATCTGGCCAAATAGTCCATGGCCCAAGCAGACGTCTGGCTATAGCCCAAAACACAAGTTAAAAGCCATCCACAAGACGCACATGCACATACACACACACAGGCATGCATACGCAGCTGAAGACTTATCAAAGTGTTGGCCACATCTTTCTATACAGGCGTCTTCAGTGCAGAGGCCATTGAAAAAGCCTCAGCCTCAACAGGCGAACGCGCCTTTTACAAATATTTATTGAAAAATATTAAATTCTCATTAAGGCAACGAAGCAGGTTCAGTTTGCAGTTCCCAAAGCCGAGTCTGGCCATGCAGACAGCACCATTTTCCACACACACACACACACACACACACGCACGCATACATACAGTGGGAGAGAGGCTGTGAGGAGAGTTTTTCCTGCTGTTGGCTCGCTCCAAGTTGAATGCTGGCGCGCGCGCATGCGCCGATAGACTCGCTCAGATAAAAGATGATTTATGGGTTTTATGGTGTGATGGGAATTTTAATTTAAGCATTTTAGCCAAACAAAATTAAAAGAAACGCCAGCCTGCAGCCACTGCCAGAGCCACAGCCACAGCAGCAGCAGCAGCAGCAGCAGCAGCATCAGCAGCATCAGCAGAGCATTGACCATTTGCCTCTATTAGGCAATTGCCAATTGTCAAATGAGGCAGCTAACGTGGCCCAGACCATTTTTAATTGAGCCAATGCGCACAGCATGCTGCAGAGGCCCACATTTCCGCATAGACGGGCATAGACCGCCTGTCCATTATACTCACTCACCTGTAAAATAAATGGCAAAACTGCCAACACTTTGGCAACGCGCTGACAACTCCGAGGCACATGCGGCGACACAAAGCTTCAAGGGGCTGCCGGGGGGAGGGGTGAGGCGCCATAGGGGCAGAGGCTGTTCCAATTTAATGCAGAAGCTAGAAGGCAAACTGCGACGGGGGCGAATGCGACTGCGATTGCGATTGTGATTGTGACTGTGATTGTGTGACTGCGATCTGGCTGGCAGTTACCGTTAGGTGTCAAAGATTTCATGCCCCATGTCGCAAAGTAACGACACACAATCGATCACAAATCAAACGAAGAGAGCGCAAGAGCAGCGGATAGAGAGAGATAGAGAGCTAGAGAGAGAGAGAGAGAGGGAGAGGTAACTGGCGTTGCGACAGTCGTCCAAATGTGTCTCAAAAATCAGGCCGCTAAAGCTGCACAGTTTCATAAATTGCAGGTGACCTGCCGACCAGCAGCAACCACAGCAACCGCAGCAGCAGCAGCAGCAGCAGCAGCAGTAACAGCAGCAACAGCAGCCAAAAGCCAACATAGAGGCATAACAATAAATTAAAAATGGCCAACTGTGTTTGGCTTAGGTATCTGCACATAAACACACACACACCATCACACACACTTCAGCTGCTGTCCTCCATCCTCACCTCCTTCTGCCCTCGAGCTCTGCGTCTCTCCGCCAGCCCACCTGCCGTGCGATTTGGTTATTGGAGCGTTGTTGTCTATTTTTTCTTCTTCTTGGTTTTTCTTTTATTTTTGTTGCTGATGGACAGCATCGATCCCGAATCCGCATTCAATAGCTGATCGAATGCAGCTCCAAGTGGCAGGCCACGTTTGATGGACACGTTTGCTGATGCATAGCTGCAACTTTATTGGCTTTTAATGAGCTGTTCGAGCGTGTATGTATGTGTGTGTGGATGCATGTCAAGGCTGCATGCCTTGTGCATGGCACAAGCTCTTAAGCATTTAGTTCACAGCACTCAAAATGTACAAATACTTTTTTATTTATTTTATTTTATAGCTCATTTTCATTAATTGATGCATGAACATTTTTATTTATACTAAGCCAAGCCTGCGGTTCTTAAAGTTAGTTGATGTTAAAGTTAGTTTCAGAAAGTTTTAGTTTGAGACTGCACTAAATAAAGCAATAATGAAATCAAATGCAACATCAAAATTGTTTTTACCCTGAACCCATTGAAAATGGGAAATCAGGGTATAATGGTTTTGCTAAAAGTATGTAACAGGCAGAAGGAGGCGTGGCAGACCCCACAAAGTACATATATTCTTGATCAGGGTGACGAGCTAAGTCGATTTGGCCCTGTCCGTCTGTCTGTCCGTCCTTCCGTCCGTATGAGTGCGTCGATCTCAGAAGTTATAAGAGCTAGAGAGCTGGAATTTAGCATGCATACTCGTGTGTACCATACGCGGTACAAGTTTATCATAATTTCTAGATAACTCATCCGATAACTTTTTTATCGAGAATAATCGAAAAATTGATTTTTTTTCAGCCGAATTCGAACATTTTTGGACCTAGAAACTTCAGATTTACTGTGTATCTACAATTGATCGATACGAAGATATTGTAATTTACAGATTGTTGATACCACGCCCCCTTCGCTCAAAATATGCGTTTCATTAAGATTGCCTGTCTACAAATGAAATTATTCAACAAATAAATTCTCATAATATTACCCACACTGCAGCGCTGCCCAAGCCCGTGCGTGTATATGCATGCATATTTCTATCCGTCTGTCTGTCCGTCCGTCTGTCTGTCCGTCCGTCTGTCCGTATGTTTGAGCGCGTCGATTTCAAAAGATATAAGAGCTAGAGACCTCAATTTTGTTGAAAAATGTCCGTGTATACCACGCGGATATCGAGTTTTGATTTAAAAATCGATAACTTGCCCCGTTATTTTGTTATCCATTAAAAACATTATCGAAAACCAGAAATAAATTTATATCTGCTACATCTTTAAGGCTAGAGTCGCCAAGTTTGTAATGTAGATTTATATGTACTTTAGAGAATTTCGGTTTTTGGTAAAATTTAGCCCCACCCCTATATTCTCCCCTGCGCCCACATATTTGTAAAAAAAATGCATGCATATCCATGTTATAATCATAATCTGAAAGTTTCATAAAGAAAGTACATCCACAAGGAAAATTATTAAGCAATTAAGTTCTCATAGTAAGCGCACACTGCAGCCCATGAGTGTTTAGGCGTGGGTGCTTGTGTACGTGTGTGTGAAAAGTTGAATCATAAATTAAAAATGAAATATTTATATTTAAGTTGAAGTCCCACGGACTCATATGACTATTAATCCCTCGTAAGAAAATCCAAATAAATTTGATAAATTGCCAGCACAGTATGATGTTGAAAGGACGACACTTTTGTATATATAAATATTTTGTATATATAATTCTTTTTATTGGCTTGTTACTATCAAATCAGACGAACACGCTAAATTACATACGGAAAGATATTGATAATGGAAAAATTTGCATTCAACTTCCATTCAGATCAACATTGATGTTAAAAAGCTACGATGAAAACGTCAAAACATTTCAGAATTTAGCATAAATAATTTGATGATTCATCAAGACATTTTATTGAATACCTAGCCAAAAACTGCAATATATCTATCTTTCTCATTTGTACTTTATTTAAATGGCTCTGAATAATTTAAAAATTAGTGCAGATATTAGGAACGCGCGGGATTCTAGAAATTTATTGCAGCTCGAGTAGATTGCTGGCTTTATTAGTTTGTTGGTTTGTTGGCCTCGCTGGTGTGTTTACTTTTACTCATTTGCATGTGCTGCGGGTCATTAAACCTGGCGTCAACCTCACCAAGGCATATACATATGACCTGACCAAAAGGCATATTCGTTAGACATACAATCAGACGTATAGGAGTAGTATATTAATTAACCCGAAAAAACCGGTATGTTATATATGTTTAACCTTATGCTAAACGCGGCCCCATCGAGCAAGTCCGACGTCGATGCCGATGCTACTACTAACGTCGACGCCGACTGCAGCAGAGGTAGCTACTGTCTGTCGGCCGGGTTGATTATTAATTTACCAATAAATTGCCGCTGCGTATACGTAATATTTCACAATTTTAGCTTAATGATCGAAACGTTATTCATGCACTGATTTCCGCTGCAGGTGTCATCGTCGTCGTGCGGAAAAGAGATAGCAGCAGCACTCTAACCAGTTGCGCGTATTAGCAAAAACTGAGAAAAAATAAAAAGCTAAAAGCTAAAGAAAGAAAATGAAAAAAGAAGCCAATCCAAGGCCCGCATTGAAATTACAAATGACGAGAAATTTGTCATCTTTATTATTGCAAACAACGCGCGCGCGCAGCCGACGACAAACGACGACAATGCTCCCCTGGACAATTGGCGGGTGCGTGTTGCTGGACCCCAATCCATGGGGCCAAGCTGGGCTGTCTGTCGAGTGGAGTCGAGGCGAGGCCAGCGGAGCACACAGAGGCCGCAGACAGAGCTGCCGCCGTTTGCCGCTGTTGACAACTTGCCACACATCTTTTGGCTAAGCTCTGGACTGCGCACAGTGGCTAGTGGCTAGTGGCTAGTGGCTAGTGGTTAGCGGAGTGGACAGGGACAGCCACTTGGTAGCCATTGTGCGCTCAATTGATTTTTCATTTAAATAAAAATCCACAGCGGATTTGGACCCGGGCCTGTTGTGTGGCTTAATGAGCTGCCCGTTTCTTGTTATTGTTCAGCTTCTGCTTCAGCTCCAGCCACGAGCAAATATGTTTGTTAGCCCCTGTCCGTATGTGTGTGTCTGTTTGTTTATGGTACACAAAGTTTTTATTTTTATTTTTATTTTTATTTCAGCAAAAAAATATGTATTGTAGGTATGTATAAGGTATTGGCGTACAAAAGTAATACACTTTGATCTTGTTTCTTTCGTTTGTTTTTGTCTTGAATGGTTGCAGTTGGCTTCTTTTTTTTTCTGTGAGGCTTGTTTAAATCTATGTAGCAGTTGCAGCTCTTCTGTTGCGCCGCTCGTTGCACGAGTCTGGCGAATTTATCGACTCCGATCTCAGTTTATTGGCTTCAAAGTCCACAGCAAGTGTAATTAAGAGCTAACAAGAAAGAACTTAATTTCGGTGCTCTCACAGAAATCATTTTCAAGTAATAAAAATTAACAGGTGAATACAAATTTAACTAACGAAAATAACACAGCAGAAGCATAAAGTCTGCTATCAGTTCTGAATTCTGAAAAATAAACAGCTTCATATTGTATTTGCTTGCTTGAGAATCGGATTGAAAGGCGTGCAATAATTACGATATAGCATGGGATGATAGACCGTCAAATATTTTACGAAGTTCATTTATAAATGGTTTGGAATGTTTTGAGTTAGTCGATCGACTGCACTGCGATTGCCGTTTCGTATGGAATATATGTGTATAAGTATAAGAGAAACTATATCAGAGTTGATTAAATCGTACGATTGTCATTTATAAATATTGCTGCCTCTTGTGTCTGTCTCTGGTCTCTTTTGATTTAGCGTCTTCTTCTGTTTTCGTATAAAATTTTCTACTTAACATCCAATGCATAAATTTGCGCTAAAATTAGTTAAACCTTCTTACTGGCTAATGTATCGTGGATATGTAAAACGTATCGCGTTTAGTAAATGTATGTACACACCAGTTGCTAGCACCAATACAAATGTCTAAATATCAAATATCAAATATATCAAATATATCAAATTCCTTAGGTAGTGTAGTAGTAAACTGTTTTTATACTCGTGGTACCACTTGTTAACTTGGCTTCTTGAAGGCAACGTCTGCTTAGATGCTATAAACATTTTACAAATTCTCTTTTGATTGAATTACTTACTGGCTAATTCCTTACAGCTCGACTGGGCTTTGAGCCCGCTTACGGATCTAAATTGAGCTACTTAAGCGTTAAGACATACAAACTGAACGAACAAAGTGATGAATGAAACAGTGTTTTATAAATAATAAGGAGAAAACGTCAAAACAAAACGGCCTCATCATGGGCACTTTCCTATGTATGATGTTGATGTGGGCGTGGGCGTAGTCGGGGCTAATTTTTGAGTATTCCCATATGGCCTGCGGCTCAGTGACGTCGCATGTGCAGCGACAGGTGATCGGAGCGACTGAAGCTGCGAGTGCAGAGCTGACAGCGAAAGGGTTTGACGCCCGTGTGCTTCCTGTAGTGGCGGGTCAGCTCGTCGGAGCGGGCGAAGCGCCAGATGCAGCCCTCCCAGGTGCACACGTACGGCTTCTCACCTGCGCATGGAAAAGGAAATGAGCCAAAATGACGATAAGAGCTTGTGATAGTGTGAGTAATGAGAGGAACATAATATGCTTTGACTAGACGCCATTTTGTGCAACTCACCTGTGTGCGTGCGCTTGTGCGCCTTGAGATGCGAGCTCTTGGTGTAGACCTTGTCGCAGCCCTCCGTGTCGCACTTGTGTACCTTTCGGTTCTTATAGAGATCATTGAAGCCGCTGCCATTGGAGGCGGCGTCGCGACTGAACGAGGCGCCGCTGCCCGCACCGCTGCTGCCGAAATTGATGCCGCTGAAGCTACTGCTGCTGCTGCTGTCCTTACGCGCCCCGCCGCCTAGTGCCAGGCCGCCAAAGGCGGGGTTCAGTGCCGCATGCGTCGACCCACCTGAGCTCGTGTAGCTCTTCCAGCTGGGCGGTGAGCAGACGCCGCCAACAGTTGTTCCTGTGCTTGCGGACTTGCTGCCGCTGATGCTGTTGCCGCCACTCGCTGAGGAGCATTTGCGGGACGCTTGGGCATCGGTGATTTTATAGGGACTTTTGAAGAGGCTCAGCAAGCTGAACTTGCGATCGTAGTCCTGCATGAGGGCGCTGCTGCTGTTGCTGTTGCTGTTGCTGGTGCTGCTGCTGCTGCCGTTGTTGTAGCTGCAGCTGTTGTTGTTGTCCTCCTGCTTGCTGATGCGTCGATACGTGAAGAAGAATGGCGATGCTGCAAAGAATGGCGAGAATGGCAACTTGGAGACGCCGGAAGAATATATCTGCTGCTGCTGCTGCTGCTGCTGTCGCCCGAAGGCGCCCAGCGTAGAACCAGCAGCACTTGCATAGCCACTAACGGAGGATGAGCACGATGAGGCCTGCTTGCCATTGCTGTAGCTGCCGTTGCTGTAGTTACTGCTGGAGCTGCTGTAGGCTTTGCTGCTGGGTCCTGCTTTGGTGGCGGATTTGCTGCTGTTTCTAGTGGTGCTGCCGCTGCTGCTGGGGCTGGTGGCGTGCGAGGTGCTCGCTGGAATTGTAAAGGCAATTGAACGTCAGTTAAACAAAATGGCCAACTGTTGAGTTTTTATGGTCGCAAAAGCTTAATGAGACTCGTTAAATGTGCCCGGGTATTGGCATAAAATCAGCTTAGCTTCAGCCAAGACAGGCTGAGGCTGGGCAGGGGAGGGGGCGAAGGCAGTCGACATCAAGTGAACTGCCTCAACTGTCTGGAACACTTTGCCTTGTCAGTTAATAGTTGTACACAATTTCCTAATTTTGCTTGGCCGGGCCGGGCTGGAACCAGGCGGATCGAGTCATTGCATCAAAAACGTTTGCATGTCGCGTACTTTATGGGCCCCAGACAGTCGGACAGACAACGGCGACAGACGGACATCAAGTCCGTGCAGTCGTGATCCATTTAACCTGTGCTTGAGCGCCGCCGATTGCCAGTCGGAGTCGGAGCAAGTCGGCCCGGCTGCGAGCGGCTGCGAGCGGCAGCGAACACACGGCCCCTGGTACAGGGACAAGTGTGTCGATTTTGGCGCCCGCGACATCAATTGCCAACAGCAGCAGTCGCAGCAGCAGCAGCAACAACAGCTGCCACAACTACTGGCTGCAATCGAGTGTCATGATGCCTGCGTGACGGCTGCCAGTTTCCTAAGCTAACTGTCTAACCTCTCGCTCTCTCTCTCTTTCTCTCTCTCTCTTTACTCTGTCGGAGCCACCTCTTGAGAAGGGCTTCGCCGTGCTCCATATGAAAGTCTCCACTTTGCGCTACGAGCCACTTGACTGTACTTGTTTTCGCGAGTTGGGATTGTGGGATTGTGCTCTGCTCTCAGTTCCGATTGAATAATGAATATTGATCAGAAGGCTCGGGTTGAGACGACTTCTAACTAGAATCATTGATTAAATTAGTTATTCTGTATGTTATTTGTAGAAAAATAAATAGAAACAAGTATGAACGTTTCAGTCGGCCGTTACCAACTGCAGAATACTCATTCACGTCCCATTAGTAGCAATGTTTACCTCTAATACTGTACCTAACTGCAAAGTTTGGATGCTTACGCTCCAAAAGTGTGAAAATGACAAGGTATTTTTCGATAACCCAGGCCCCTAAATGAGCGTAAAATTTTTTATTTTTTTTACTGGTAACTCAACTGTAGGAGATATAAGCTTTTACGGTTTGCCACATATTTGCCATATATCCGCCATAGCTTATTGGTCTTGGGCGGTTGGCCCTAGTATATGTATCACTTTTCTGGTCTATAGCATCAATACTGCCCAAAATATAGCAGAATTTAAAAATTCACTATATCTTCAGATCCAATTCGTTATGCTCCTAGTGGGCGTAGACATATAATTCTTTCATAGGAGCTACAGTTTTATCCGGTTCGCCCCCAATGTACGTAGATATATCCGCCATAGTTTTTTATTTGAGTCGACGCGGAGCTACATTTCAAATTTCAACTTTCTAGCTCCTCAACTAATATGATTTCTAGTATATCGGAAAATGCATTTTCCGATTTGCCACGCCCCTAGTGGACGGGTCGGAAAATTTTAGCACTTTATAACTCGGACCAAAGAATTCAAAAGGATCTGTCACTATGTTTACCTGATCGCTTCATTCAATTTGTATCGCAGTATTGAAATGTGCCTCTCCTTGGGTCTAGAGTCGGAGTATATTTTTTATGAGTCTTTTAAACTATGTTTTGAAGTTAGTCTAGAATGGGAACCACAATGGCCCCAATTACATTTTGTCTCGATAGATTCAATCGCTAAAAGGCCAATACGTGCTCTCAGCTCTGTTGTGTTAAAGCATAATCATCCATTAATTAATTTCTTCATAGTAACAAACTATTAATAATATTTTTGCTACTCCTTTACTACCTTCCATTCGTTTGTCTCCTTCTGTCTTCAATTTGCCTTCTCGCACTTCTTCCTCATTTCAATAAATGACGAATATTCCATTTTTAGCCTTAGCAAATTCGTATTAATGAATGCACTACGGGCTGAATATTATAAGTTAAAGAACATATTTTAGAGTTGTATAGTCAACCCAACGAAAGTATTTGCATATTTACGACCCACTTACATTGTTATATCTCTATGTTCCGTCGCCTTAAATTTTAATATGGTTTGTATTTAAATACATAAATTTGCCTAATTTTTAAATCTGCTTTCGGTTTCTGCTTTAGATGTTCTATTCGTTTTCCAGTTCATTGCATAAGCCTAATTTGACGACTGTTCTATTTACACTCATTCTTATGCAAATGCATTAAATTAAATAAATAATATTGATCAAAATTCAATGGGAAGTCTCCTACTAGATGTTACCGTCTGCTCAGAATTTATAACTCATTATTAGATTATTTCCGTATTAAATGGAATCGGAATCGCAATCTCTTTCTTCTCTATGTCTCTCTCTTTCTCTCTCTCACTCTCTTGTTATTCCCTGAACCCATTGAAAATGGGAAATCAGGGTATAATGGTTTTGTTGAAATGTATGTAACAGGCACAAAGTATATATATTTTTGATCAGGGCAACGAGCTCAGTCGATTTGGCCCTGTCCATCCGTCCGTCTATCCGCATGTTTGAACGCGTCGATTTCAGAAGATATACGAGCTAGAGACTTGAATTTTTTTTAAATGACCGTATATACAGCGTGGATGTCGAGTATGCCTTTAAAATTCGATAAATCATCCCGTTATGTTTTTATCGAAAAAAACATGCAAGTTCAAGTCAGATGCCCGTTTAGCTAATTGTGAATGATTTTTAATTTTTTTTTAATTTGTCAAATATTCAACTTGTCAACTTCAGATTTAGTTTTATATACAGTTTATAAATACACAAATTTTGTAATTTACAGATTTTGGATACCACGCCCCCTTCGCCCACAATTCGTAAAAAACTTTTAAGTAAATACTTTGGAATATACATACATTTGAACATTATGATCATGTTCTGAAAGCTTAATGAAGATAGTCCTAAATAAGTCAAAAATAAATTATTCAACAGGTAAATTCTCATAATATTGCCCAAAAAAGTCGCTGCTTATTTCGCAGTTAGCAGATCGCCTGCTTATGCACTCGTGTGGTTTCATCTGCATGTGTATGTGCATAAAAGAATTGCAGAATGATTAGAATATCAGCTTGGAGGGTTCAGGGTATCTTCTTCTTATGTATCTCCTTATTTGTTGATTATTTACTTTATTTTACTTTAGATCTATGAACCAAGATATTATAGCTGAGTTAGCTAAGATACATACATTTTGCAAATGATAAGGTTGATCAGCGTTCTTTGAATATGAATATCGACTTCTATTCATGCACATATTTAATTGATTATATTTATTAAAATCAGCAGAGAAGAGATGAATCATAGGTATACAGACTTAGTTCACTGGAACTAAGCGCTCGCTGTTCAGAATCATATTATATGTTATATAATTTGAATGTACATTATATAAATAAAAAGTCTGACAAATTCCTACATTACTTTACTATAAGAGAATATAGTCTAAACAACAGTTAAAACAAGTAAGAAGACTCTAGTCGAGACTGCTCGACTAGGAGATACCCTGAACCCTCTAAGCTGATATTCTAATCATTCTGCACTTCTTTTATGCACACATACATACACATGCATCCACACGCACGCATAAGCCTGCGCTCTGCTAACTGCGCAGTAAGCAGCGACTGCGCTTGGGCTGCGCTGCAGTGTGGGCAATATTATGAGAATTTATTTGTCGAATAATTTCTTTTGTAGTCATACGATCTTAATGAAACTTTCAGAGTGTAATCATATGGTGAATATGTGTGTACATTTCAAAGCACAAGTCTCTAGTACTTGAAATGCGTTTTTTACAAATTGGGGGAGAAGGGGGCGTGGTATCCAAAATCTGTAAATTACAAAATCTTTGTATCGATTAACTTTATATACAACGCAAATTTGAAGACAACAGGTCTAATAATGTTCAAATTAGGCTAAAAAAACAAAATCAATTTTTCGATTATTCTCGATAAAAAAGTTATCGGACGATTTATCGAAAAAATAAAGCAAACTCGTACTGCGTATGGTACACACGAGTATGCATGCCAAATTTCAGCTCTCTAGCTCTTATAACTTCTGAGATCGACGCACTCATACGGACGGACGGACGGACGGACGGACAGACGGACAGGGCTATATCGACTCAGCTCATCGCGCTGATCAAGAATATATATACTTTGTGGGGTCTGCCACGCCTCCTTCTGCCCGTTACATACTTTTTCACAAAACCATTATACCCTGATTTCCCATTTTCAATGGGTTCAGGGTATAATTAGCCAATTCTGTTTATATATTGTACATATGTAACCTATTTTGTATTGAATTTATTTTTAGTTTTGTATAATTTATCTCTTTTTTTTAGATTTTGCTCCCTTCTCTACGGCTACCGCTTTCAATTTTCACTTGTTAAAGCTCCCCTCGTTTTGGCTGGCTGTCGCCGTCGGTGCTATTGTGGTGCTTGTTGTTGTTGTTGTTTTTGTTGCTGGCAAACTGTAAGAGTGACCCATGCTTAAGTGCTTTGTCTGGGGCCCCCTGCCACAGCATGACCGAGGGACACAGCGACTCAGCCGCTGCGACTGACCGTCAACGCGGGTCTGTTGGCCGGGTTGGCCGGCCGCTTGTTTTAGCCCGAAGTGCTTCAAGTGCGTTAGCGTTAGAGCTCCGACCTGTCTACACATGCTCACACGGACCGGGAACTCGAACCGACTCTTGCTGTGGCTCTTGCTGATGCATTTGTAATTTCCATGCCAGCATTTGGCTGCACAGCGCCCAAGGTAGCGCACTGTGTGTGTGTGTGTGTGTGTGTATGCATGAGAGAGAGAGAGAGACTGCCCCGTGTTATTAAAATTGATGGCATTTAATTGAACTGGCCATCAACGTCAGCCCACAGTGCCGTTTTTTCCCCATTTAGCCATTTTGCGGTGTGTTGCCCCATTTGCAATTGCGACGCTTAGAAGGGACCATTCATTTGGATCTCG